TGGGGGTCAGTCCCAGTCCCCGTCGCCATCCCCGTCAGGGTTGTCGTCCCGTGGGGGCTCCTGGAACTGGATGTTGGCGAGCATGTCCCGCATGGCTGCCATGAGTCGGTTCACGCCCTGGTTCAGGTCCTGCCCTGCGCCGGCCTCCTCATCCCCGTCACGTCTGACCTCCCCCTGCAACACAGTGCAGGCGTGTGATGAGAGCAGAGCAAGCTGAGCACCCGGCCCCTGGGAACCTGCGGTAGGGGTGCACAGGCTGCAGCTGTCCCGCACCCAAGTGCAGGGGAGCCCTTGGGTAGAAGCTCAGCACCCACATACACACCCAGTGGCTGCTGCTACATTGGGGGGCTGTGGGGCTCAGGGGAGAGAAGCCATGGTCAAACAGTTACAGCTGAGGAGCCCTGTTTCTGGCCCTGGCTGTTGCTTCTCCCCAGGCCTTGCTTTCCCAGGGGCAGGACACAAGAGTAAGGGGCCTTGATGAATGGTAGAAGCCCTGAGCAGCACGTGACAGACCCTATAGCATCACGCATGACTACAGCATGGGCCAGGGCAGCAAACCAACTACCACTGTGTGTTCAGTCCCAGCCTGCCAGGACATGGGACAAAGCTCCCTTCATGGCAAGGGTTATAGCAGAGGGGAGGGGGCACACAGGCCCTCCCCATCTCCCTGCACCATGACAGCTGCTCAGGAAGAGGGAGCTCCAAAACACCCACTGACAGCCCCAGCCAGCAGCGAACACAGCCCCCTGGAAACACAGGAGCTAGCATGTAGCGTGGAACGCTGACTGGGGAGCACGTGCAGCCAGATACATGCGCACACAGCCCAGGGGCTAAAGTAGGTCCCAGGCAGCTCTCAGGCCTGCGAGTCAAGCTGTTCTGGATCACTCACACCATTGAAGCCATGCTCCCCATCCCAAGCAGAGTGTTGGGGCCGCCCTGTCAGTCCATAGAGGGTGTAAACAGGGGTGTGGGCTCAGCTGCCAAGTCCTGGTCCCGCTGCAGCCCACTGCGTTGGCACACCCAGGTGACTTGGGGGGTGGCAATCTTGCAGCTTCTTTGGGGACCAGACAGAGGCTGCGTTCCACCAACCCGTGATTCTGGGGACAACCTGGGGCAGAGCCCGCAAGCCCTTGAATTATCCCAGAACTGAGCAGGGAGAAGCATCACTGCTGCTTTTGCAGAGTCAGTTAAGGGACGCGAGGCTCCTTGTGGATGCGGGCAAATGCCTTCGATGACAAGTGAGGCTGGGGTCCCTGCCCAAGTCAGAGCCTTGCCTAGTGCAGCCTGAGGACAGCCAACTGACCTGCCCTTGTGGGAGTGCATAGCTGTGCTGAGGACAGGCACAACAGGCCCCATGCAGTAAGCGGGCGAGGCTGGATGTGCCCACATGGACGCACTTGCAGCCGGTGCCAAAGCTTACCTGCAAGTTAAAGTTTGGCAAGAGCGATCGGAAGAAGAGAGATAAAGTGCTTTCGCTGGATGGTTGATTTGTCCTGAAAGAGAACACCCAGAAGACCCCGCTGAGTGAAGCCCACGCGGTTTCATGTCAGAACCCCTTGCACCTACCCTGCCTTTGGTGCCACGGGTCTACGAGGGGCTGACCCTGCCTGCTCCCTCTGTCACCTGGCAACACAAAGCTGCCCACGAGCCCACGGTGCCACCTGGATGCTGGGTTTCCCTGAAGCGAAGTGCAGCAGCCTGCTTCCTCCTGGACTGTCCTGCCCCTGGACACCCACAGCCTGCTGAGTCCATACACGTAGGGGGAACAGTACCCAGCGTGGATGGGCACACAAGACGTATGTACCATGTAGCTGAGCAGCTAGCTATCCAGTGTGCGCACACCCGCTTTGCAGCCCCAGATGTGGTAACGGGGCAAGATGGGGCAATACCTTTCAGGCCTTGTGTAGGAAATGACAGAGTCCAAGGGAGGCAGTGGGTCAAACCCCATCACGGGCTGCGACGTCACTTCCTGCAGGGACAGAGACATGCTCATGGTGCTGGCAGCAGCGTGCCCTGGGGCACACAGCCTGCAGCAGGGAGCCCCAGGGGCACAGCACGCTGGGCATGAGATAGGTTGAGCCTCTGAGGCAAGGGGGCTGCCTCGCAGCTTGGTGCTGGACCCCAAGGGAGGTCAAAGGGGAGTGCACCCTGCACTGCCCTGGCACAAGAGGTTGCACCAGATGCACCTGGGGGGTTTCCTGCCTTCAGGACACAGCTCTGGTGCCTGGGAAGTCCTCAGCCCAGCTCTTCCCCTGCCCCAGTGACTCCAGGAAGGGGCTGCTGCTGGCTGGTGTGAGGATGTCTCTCACAGCAGTGAGCCACAAACCCTGACTGCTTAGGGGCAGGCCAAGATGGACCAGAGGTGGCTGAAGGCAGCCGCCCTGTCAGTCCCCACAGCTTCCCCACTGGGCTTGGCTCAGGCACGTAGAGCACGTGCTCAGGGCAGAAGGCACATGACAGCACGCAGCCCCACAGGGCCCTCACCAGAGGCAGCGCGGCCGTGGCCTCCTTCAGCTCCGAGAGGATGACGTGGCGGTAGATGTTCCTGGGCGCGCTCTGGTACCGCACTTTCCGCCTACGGGGAGAGAGGCCACAGAGGACACCCTGCGTGAGCTGCACCCATAGCTGCGAGGCGCCTTCCTGCCTCCCAGGGGCCACGCCTGCCTCATCCTAGCCCCCAAAGACTCTGGCTCTGGTCAGCACCAGGGTCCCGCAGGGGCTGCCAGCCCCTGGAGGAGGGCACAGAGAGGCTCAGAGATGTCATCAGTGTATGCTGTGCCAGCAGCACCTCTCCTTGAGCTGAATGGATCAATGGAGCCAGCAGGCCGCAAAGGAGAGCGGAGACCTGGAAACGGCCCCTGCACATCCCTCCCCAGATCCCCTAGACCAGGCAGTCAAGCTCTGTTTTTAACCCCCGGCCCAAGCTGGTGCCACCCTGGCCACCATAGCATCTTCCCAGCTGCACTGTCAGGATATATGCATAGCAATTCAGACCTGGGCCCAGGGCAGCAGGGCTGACACTGCTGTGTCACTGGGATGTCCCTCCCCGCGCTGCCACACTCACTTCCGCTCAGACTCCTCCACGGCAGGGTCATTGGCCTCCACCAAACGCAGCACCTCGTGGACACTGGTTTCCAGCCAGGACATGACGACCGGGTCCTTCCATAGCGCATATGTCCTTGCCACGTACAGGCACACCAGCTGGTTCAGGGCGGGCGGCTGGCTGAAGAACATGGAGGCTGTAGCACAGCGTGGGCCCTGCCTGCCAACCCCTCCAAGGGAACTGTGACCTTGCGGTCACCATCTGCACCCCAGCTCCACGTCATCTGGCCTCGGGTCTGAGAATGCAACAGAGCCCTTCCCTGGGACAGCTGGCTCCAGCCATTTCAGTCTCAGGGCCGAGAAACCCCCGAGGCCTTGCCGAGGCGAACAGGGAGGCAGAGCGCCCAGGGCACACGTGCAATCTAGGCCTTGTGCCAAAGGGCTCACCAGCTGTAGGATGAACCTCTGCCCAGCCCAGTGGCATGAGAGCTCTCCCATGCAGCATGTGCAGCCCCCCCCACCCCTGCCAGGAAACAGCAGTCATTCCCCTCTGTGCAAACAGAAGCACAAAGCTACCAAGTGAGCTAAGCAGCCTGGCAGAGACCCCACTTCTCAAGGCCCTTACCTTATCTGTGCAGTGGGTCCAAAGAAGGCATGCGAGGCCACACGGGCATCTGGCTGCACGCTGCAGCGATCCAGCAATGGCATCAGAACTGTGGGAGAGGAAGCACAGAGCAACCCCGTGCTCCAGGGCACTGCTGTCAGAGCCAGTCACCAGGCTCCCCAGAGAGCCCTGGCCTGGGAAAAAGCCCCACCCAACCCATGCTGGCTCTGCTATGGCCAAAGCAGATGGCAGGAGCAGGCCCAAGCTGTTTTCAAAGGAATAAGGTGCCAGCTCAGGCCATTACCAGCTCTGGCCTTGGCATGGGAACAAAGAGCTCATTCTAGCCACTACCACTAGCTGCACAAGGATGGCTTATGGTAAGAAGCTGCGCAGACTGGCCCCCTTTGTTCAGAGCTGGTCATTCTTGCTGATACAGACTAGCTGGTTCTGGCAATCTCTGTCCCCTCCTGCCCAGAGGCACTGCATGATTCCTCATAGGGGCAGGGGCCTTGGCTGGAGGAAGTTGTGAACAAGCAGCTCCAGGCAGCACAGTGAAAGCAGGACAGTGCCTCTGAGGCACGCAGAGAGCACAAACAGCCAGGCTTGGGGAACCTGCGTTAAACCCTCCTGCCGTTCCACAACTGGAGGCGCTACTTCACGGTCAGGGCGGCTAGAGTCTGGAACTAGCTTCCAAGTGAGGTGGTGCAGGCTCCCATCCTGGGGGTTTTTAAGAGGAGGTTGGATGACCACCTTACTGGGGTTGTTTGACCCCACTGCTCTTCCTGCCATGGCAGGGGGTCGGACTAGATGATCTGCTCAGGTCCCTTCCGACCCTAGAAACTATGAAACTATGAAACTGGGACCCGCACCTTCCCCGGTCTAAGCGCACAGACCTATAGGCAGGGGAAGGGCAGGGAGAGCTGGGACAGAAGCAGCAGATAGATGTCTTCCCACAGGCCTGAGGGGCCTGGGATCTGTGGCTCCACCACAACACCAGGTGGAAAGGGAGCACAGGGAGCACCAACCCACACACACTAAGAGCCTTGCTCTGCAGTTCAGGTCCCTATCGGCCTCCCTGCTTTGACCTGTGGGACCAAGTCCATGGTCACCTCTCTCTGGTAGCAAAGGCAGGGCCCACCTGTGCCACTCTGTGGATGCCAAGCATGGCTCTTGGATGAGTACCAGTCCTGGACTCGGTGACACAGGAGGGGACGAGAAGCCACCCAGGGGTGCCTGCTGCCAACTCACCACTAGGAAACATGATGAGGGCGTGCTGGATGAGCTGGGCTGCCCTCTCACGTGCCAGGCCCCGCTCTGGGTCCGGGAGCTCCTCCTGCTGGCTCTGCAGGAAGTATGCCAGGGGCACTGAGAAGGCGAAGTTTGGGAGCTGGGACAGGTTCCGGTGACTCTGGGGGGTGGGGAAAAGAGTCTCATTGTTACCTTGGAGGGGCTGGGTGGCCCCGCAAGGCAGCACCATGCTATGCCGCCTTCAAGGGCACTCCTCAGGCCCCATTTTGTGCTTCAGTTTCCCCTCAGCCATCCAGAGGAAGCAATGTGATGCACGCTTGATTGCTTTGGTCAGGCTCAGAGCTTGGGTTTAAGGGTTCCTCATGCCCCAGCTGCAGTGGTTCACGCAGGTCCTTCATAGCCCACAAACCAGACCCACAAAGGGTTAATCCCACCCTGCTCGGTTGTCAGAGCAGGGCATGGGCAGCGCTTGAAGCCTGGTGCAGAGGAGGGCTGCAGGAGACTACCCCGCTGCCTTTCTGTCGATTGGAGGGAGGGTCTGGACCCTCCTGCTGCCCAGCACAGTTGCTCCTGCAGCTCCCAGAGCCCCCAAAACTGCTCCTGGCTGGCTCTGCCCTCCCTCCTGCTGACAGCTCACCTCCCACTCCTGGAAGACACGGGTCAGGAAAGTGTATTCCCGAGCTCGGAGTGACAGGAAATCGATGATAAGCAGCGAGCACAGCGGGTCGTTCTCTGGGTCAAGGCTTTAGAGAGGGGAGGTCAGGAGGGAACAAACCAGGACAATGTTAAGACGGTTTGCGGCAGCTGCATGCACCTTGGCACCAAACAGGATGTCCTGCCTCAGAGTTTCTGTTGGGCCCCAAACCGGTTATGGTTTGAGATGGAACCGGAGGGGGAAAGCACCATCTCAGGGCCAGGGAAGTTGTGGAAACTCCTTCAGGAGTCTGGAGAAGCACTGGACTGGGCTGTTTTGGGAACAGCCTCCCCCTCAGGGGCTGGCCCAGATGACTTGAGGTCCCTGGGAACCCTATGAGTTTATGATCTCCACTTGGCAGGAGGGTCACAGCTAGTGGCATTCCTGTGTCTAGGATGGGAGAAGAAGGTTTCCTGAAGCACTGCATCAGGCAGGGGCAGAATAAACGCACAAGCCAGGAGTTGGCAGGGTGGAAATGGGACAGCAGGGCCTGGCTTTTCCCCAAAGAGGGAGAGTGCAGCTCTCTTTAGCGAGGTGCAAACTCTCTTGGGCAGCTCCCAGGCTGACTCCTGCTCATCCAGGGAATCCTACAGCCTGCGCTATGTGTGATCAAACTAGGGTTCTCCAAGGCCCCCACAACCCAGGTATCCTCGTCAAGTGTAGGATCTGTCCCAAGGGCACTAGAGCTGTCAAAGGAATAACAGGACAGCAGAAACACCTCCCAACTCTTCCCCTGCCACCCTGGTCAGCCAGACGGACCCACAGTTCAGCACAAGAGAAGAGATGGCCCAGGCTTATGCCAGGGGGACTCTGTGGGCCTGCTCAAAGTCCTCTTCCAAAGATTGCTGCTTTCTCTAGCACAACAGAGGTAGGAGATTCCCCTGCCCCTGCCGAGCCCAGTGAGATGTGACACAAGGACACTGTTGACAGCACGTCCCTCTGAGGAATCAGAGCTCCAAGTGGCAGCAACACAGACCCACCGTGCACTCCCCCCAGCATGGGCAGGCCCAGCCCCAAGCCTGGGTACCAACCTAAGGAGAAGCTTGCAGAACTCCAGCGCCGTGCGGAGACAGCCTCGTTTTTCCAGAAACATCATGTGCTTGAAGAGAGCCAGGTAAAACGCTCTGCAAGGAGGGGAGCAGCTTCAAACCCATCCAGGTGACGACTAACACCCCCCTCCCCACCTGAGGATGGGACCCCATTGCTGGCCTGGACACTGGTGGGAGATCTCAGATGGAGGACAGGCAGCCACCACACACACATCTGCATGCTGGCCAGAAGCTTTCCAGGCAACGGTGTGGGCTGCGAGGTCCCAGCACTTCATCTCCCACCCAACTCCTTGCTTTTTATTGAACAGGATGAGCTGTAGATCTTAACAATGCAGCTCATCCTCACCTCAGACCCCTCGGGCCTGCTCAGTCTGTAGCAGATAAGGAGCTGGGGCCTGGGACCCAGGAGACAAGAGAGAAATCATAGAACCACAGAGAAGTGGGGTTGGAAGGGACTTCCAGAGGTGGTTTAGTCCAACCCTTGCCTGAGGCAAGATCAGCCCCATTCAAACAACCCTAAACAAATCCCTTGTCTAATCTCTTAGTAAAACTACAATCACCCCCAAACCTGCTCCAGGTAAAGCAGGGGGAGGAACACAGCAGCCAATGTCCCATTTCTATAACAGGCTGTCAATAAATGCTCAAGAGGTCCCTGGCAAAGGCCATGTCCCCACTCCATAGGAAGGCAATCCCCTCATCTGTATCAATCTGACCATGGGATAAAATTCCTTCCTGACCCCAAATCTGGCATTGGTCTGACCTTGAGCAGAGGGACAAGACCCTCCAGGCTGAGTACCAGTCGAAGCACTGGTACAGCCCAGTCCTCATCCCCAGCGGGCTGCAGTGACTGAGTGTTGCATGGGTGCTTTCTGAAGGCTTAGGGCTGTGACAACACAGCGCCTGCCAGCCAAAGGCCTGTGGCCTTCCCTGGCTGTGCATGCTGGGTGGAGCCACACACCCCAATATGCAATCAATAGGCCATGCAAAAGAACTGGTTGCAAAGCCAGTGCTGGGCTAATGGACAAACCCAAGGTACAGGGGGGAGGCAGCGTCTGCAGCATCTACTACTGGCTAGAGTGATTCTATAGCTAATGCCCATGCCAGGAGCTGGGTCAGCTGTATGCTGACATGGACACATAGCGTGAACGACCATGAGACGAAGGGGGAGGAGTGCCAGCTGGCCCACCTGTTCTCTGGCCGCCGGTAGTCGAGTCTGCAGGCTCCGCTGGTGAGGCTGAACACGGGGTGGAACACACACTCCAGGCTGTAGAGCGCCCTCTCTGCGAGCAACACATGGGCCCTCAGCAGGCCATTTACCAAGCACAGCACCCCACAACAATGCCACCACAGCCAAACCCCAAGACTTGACCCACTGACGGCTGCTTGGAGACCCGGGGTTGTGGAACAGGCTGGTGTCGCTTCCTGGTGAGGAGCTCAGCCATGGTAACAACTTGCTCCCTCAGGGGCCATCTCAGCAGAGGTCACAGATGCCAGTTAGCCCTGAGGCAGGGCTTGGGGACCAGGGACTGTCTCTGCTGTTCTGGGATGAAGGACTGAGAAGCCAGGGCCTTTGGTCATACTGTGTGCTCTGGCTGTGAGCACTCACACTCTTCTGTAGGACAGCCAGGCCTGGGGCTCTGAGCACTGCCTGCCTGGGGTCTCAGCACCAAAGATGCAGAGACCAGCGTCACTCAGCAGCTCCCTGGGACTGCAGGGGCATTCCACTGTGCCACTGGCCTTGTCCCAGGTGCAACAGCCCCGCTTAAAAAGCAGATGACACGTCCTACACCTAAGCCTGCACCACAGGTGCACCATAGGTGCTGCTCTGATCCCCGCCCCACAGCTGGCATGCCCAAACACTGGGACTGCCCAGCATCAGTGGGGCGACCTGGCAGCTCCAGCCATGATGCTCAGAGCACATTAGTCCATGCCCCGCCCCCTTACCGATGAGGTCTCGGGCCATCTCCTGATCCTCCTGTATCCGGCACACGTCACTGAGCTGCAGCAGTGAGTCCACATGGTATGGGTTCATCTGGAGCAAGAGCTGTGGGAAAAGCCGAGGGGGGGTGTGTGTGCGGAAATAAGCCTTCACACAAAGTACCCCTCCCCACATACACCCCCGTGGGAGTCAAGGGCAGGCTGGCTGCAGGAAGACAAGGGCTGTACGCAGGGAGTCTGTATGATTCGGAAAGCAAGGGAAAGGGGTGCTGGAAATTGACCCTAATGGGATCCCAGCTGGGCTCATTCAGTAGCACTGTCACTTCCAGGCCTGAAGGTAACAGGATCCTACCCCTGGCCATCACAGCCCTCTTGCATGAGACACGAGACCACATCAGGGCCAAGGCTCAGGCTTGTTACACAAAGGCCAAGCCCATGTGCTCTCACCACCTTGGTCTGATGAACAAGCTGGCACGACAACAAGCTCAGGGTGACCACAGACGCGACCAGAGGGCAGGGAAGTGAAAGTAAAAGGACGCTGGACAAGGGTCCTTTTAAAAACTCCCTCAAGTGCATCTATTTGTGCTTGGTTGAAGCGGAGGAAGATCGGGTTTAGAGCTTCAACATGCTGCGTTTGGGCACGGAGCAACATAGCTGCCAGCCTGCCCATCCGTCCTATAAATGTTGTTATCCAGTCTAACAAGCTCAGACACGCTCAGCAAGACCTCAACGCAGGCACTGTTCTCCCCACATACCAGGAAGAGCAAACGCGCAGCGTCTTCCATGAAGCGGGTTATAAATAGAACAGCTGTTAGACCCTGCATTTAAAAGTCATGTTATGTAGTATTTTGCCTTTCCCAGCTGAAGAGGGAGGACAACAAGGCTTTGTTTGCTGGCTGGGAGGTCTGTTCTCTAAGGAAGCCCCTAACTTGGGAGGAATGTCCCGCAGAACCATTCAAGTTCTGCCTCACACTAGCATGGCGCCTGGCCCTGGCTTCACCTGCACGAGATGGACCCACCAGCTCCCTCCACAACTGACCAGGAAATGCTGCATGCAGCAGAGACCCAAACAGGCGGTCTTTCACTTTGATCTAGCAGAAGGCCCGCGGGAGTCTACTGCTCCGAGCAAGATGGCAGTCGTGCCCAGGCCCCTCATCATCACAAGCTCACCGCCTTGTACCAGGCAAGGGGGGTGCCAGTTGCCTGACGGACATACCACAATGTTGTTTGGGTCCATGGACTCCACGGCGTCTAGAAACTTGAACTGCACTTGCTGGTACTCACGATGGTGCTCGAAGGTAAAGTACTGCACTCCCCGCCGTGTCTCCAGAAGTTGCATACCAATACCTGGGAGGAGAGTGCGAAGGGCTAGTGCTCCCTTGGGGAGATGGAGACAGCTACCACCAGCTGGTACAGACAAGCCAAGAGCCTCCAAACTCCTCTCTGCCCCAAAGCTGGATTCACTTAGGGTTAAGGGACCCTGTTCATGCTGGTAAGTCCATGAGCCACCCTCCCAAGGATCCTAGGAGAGTTCAAAGATGAATACTTCCTGTGTCCACACCTCCCCAAAACCCCGAGTCTGCCCCCCACCCCTCTCCAAACATGCTACCCAAGGGCAAAACCCTTCTAGGTCCGGAGACACGCAATACCTGTGAGCCTTGAAAGAAAATGAAAGAGTCACACAAAGCTGCAGCCTGGTGCTGGCAATGTTGCTTCTGTCCGAGCAAGGCAGAGGCAGCGCACCATGCCAGGGGCTGACACAGCCAGTGCAAGCTGGGGCCTGGTGGCCGATAAGAGCCACGGCAGCCTTTGCAGGCTGACCAGGCCCTGGCCACAGCCGAGCAGTGGAACCAGGAAGTGCAGGCTCACGACAGGCTGGAGAGAAGGCCATAGCAGAGGTCTCACCTGTCCTGCTGTAGCGTGGCCAGGTGTCCTTGGGAGCTGTCAGCCATGTGCTGCGGACATACTGGCGCTGCCTCTGCCGTGGCCTGTGGAAACCAACACTTAGGCCATCCCTTCTACATACTTCATGGATTGTATCAGCTGGATGCAGGATGGGACCAGAGCAAGCATAGTGAAGGGAAGCTAAGGGACCGTCTCCAGAATATGGCAACCACTGCCATCACTTCCTCTGACTGTAACCACACCTAAATGGATTCAACCTCTCCAGCAGCCTGGCCTGCCCACGGCTTCTTGGGGATACCACCTGTGGGCCTGTGCCACCCTATCCCTACCTCCCCCAGGTAAGATGCAAGCCCCACCCCACACATCCCATTGAGATTTCATCCTAGGAACAACCAAGCACCTCTTTACCAGACGGGGCTTTGGAAAGGCCCAAGTCCATAATGGGAGGAAGGCTTATGAAGCAAAAGCAACGGCGAGGACATGGGGAGAGTCTGGACACAGCCTGGGTTTCTTACACACATCTAGGGATACAACTTTCCTCTTAAGTCACTGACCCCACCCTGAAGAGGCCTCTTCAACAAGTCAGGAAGGGCTGACCATGTCTGTAAGCACCCTTCCAGGACACACCAGGCACCCTGGGGAGGAGCAGCACTGGCAGCTCAGCCTGGGACACCAAGGACAGGGAAGAACATGCATCATATATGGGGGGGTATTATTATTTTAAGCCTTCCTCCAAGGCACTGGGTGCTGGCCGCAGCCTAGACTGGGGTGGGGACTGGGCTGTGCCAATACTCCTGCTGGAACTCAACCCTGGAGGGTCCTGGTTACAGGGTCTTGTCCCTCTGCTCAGGGTCAGACCGAAGCAGCACTGGGGTCAGGAAGGAATTTTACCCCATGGCCAGATTGGTACAGGCTGAGGAGGTGGGGGTAGGGCTTGCCTTCTTGTGTACCAGGGGGTGTGGGCCTCTCCCTGGGATGTCTCAATTGAAAACTTTTTATAGAAGCAGGACGTTGGCTGCAATGGTCTCCCTGCTTTATCTGTGGCAGGTTTGAGTGTGAGGTCTTGTGCTTGTAGTTTTTCTCAGAAGTCAGACAATGGGTTTGTCTGGGTTGGTTTGGACAGGGCTGATCCTGCCTCAGGAAGGGGTTAGACTAAATGTGACTGCCAAAGGTCCCGTCCAACGCCACTGCTCTGTGATTTCTATGAACCGACAGTTAGCAGTGCAGGATTGGCCTCACCTCTGCTCACCCAGAACTGCCCGGGCCCCAAAGTATCTCTTCAGCTCATTCTCAGGATTCAAATTTCTGCAAAACCAAAGCCCATGATGAGAAGACTCACCCAGAGTCACTGCAGGCCAGCATGGGACCCACCCACCCCCACAATACACAATACCTCTGATGCTTCTGCTTTACATACGGTTTCAACTCACCCATAAGGGAAACGATACCCACCCGTGTATGTAACCACAGTGAGGTTTCACAGCCAATCGCTCAGCCTGCTGCTTGCAAAGGCTGAGAGCTCTCAAAGGTTTTTCTGAGAGAATAATGCTACTGCCCTCTCCAGGGTAGCTGCTGTCATTAGTGCAAGTGCCTGATTCTAGATAAGATCATCAATCAACTGCCACACAGTGGAGCTGCCTGCAAGTCAGCTCGGCACATGGGCCACAGCTGAGCTATGAACTCACTATGGTTGTGGACGTGGAACACTGCACACAGGGATGACACCAGCCCAGGGGCAACCCGCTGCACTGCATTCCAGGCAGCTGCAGTGTCAGAGAAAGGGAAGATGTGCTTTGCTGAATGCCTGAGGCTGAGCCATCATGGCTGCAATTCAGGGTCGCTGACAGTCTCAAATACAGTCCACTCAAGGCCTCTGTCTAGCAGACCCTTTGCTGGCTTGGGATGACCATAACCCAGAGCTCTGGGGATGGGATCTCCCTACAGCACTGATGTCCCATGGTCAACAAACAACAGAAGGGCTCCTGGAAAAGCAAGAGGGAGGCAGGGGATGGGGTGTGGTACCTATGCTCCACATAGAGCAGCGGCCGGCTGTCTGCTATCACTCCACTCAGCACCTGGTGCGAGTGCCCATTGGTCTCCTCGATCTTCTCCAGGAGGCTGTCAATATCCTCCAGGTCGTCATCTTCCTTAGGGCACAAGCAAGACATTGCCCTTGTTAAAGTACTGCATCAGCCCCACATACCCTGCCCCTGTTGGCACATCAGGCCCTTGTCCTCTGCTCTTGCTTCACTCCTTGCTGCTCCACCCGCACTTTCTGCCCTGCCTCTTTGCTCCCACATGCCTCCCCTTCCTACTGAGCTCTCACGCTAGGCTGAGGCCCCTCCCTGATGCCTCATCACACATGTTCCCCATTGTTAGCCTAGATGTCTTACTAAAAGAGCCACTCCAGCCCAGCAGCTTGGAGCCAAGCTGACAGTAAGGGGCTCTAGGTGTGCCTCTGGCTTGGACACTGTAGGTCACACTAGATCTTGAGGGTCCACTTCTGGCCTCAGCAAAGCAACCTGAAGGTCTGAGTGTGGGTGTCTGAACTCATCACCCAACCTCAACCCACACTGCTAGTGCCATGGTCCACTTCTACTGGATTCAAGTTAAGCTCTTTGGCATCTCAGTGTGACTGCGAATACTCCTAGCACTACACAACTGTCCGCTAGGGAGCCAGCCTTCAACGCCTACTTGACAGCCTGTCCTCGCCCCCAGCAATGCTCACAAGGATCCCAGCCAAGCTTGGACCCAAACCTGCAAAAACTGGGTTGGGGGAGGGGGTTGATTTCAGGCACATATTTGAACCATGCTTTAATTTACACGTAAGCTATTTGCCTAATTGGTACAACTCAGTACTTCTTAACCAAGAGGATATACTGTCTCTAGACACGCTCCTATTTATGCGGCTCTACCTCTATTCAGATTCTTGCAGTTTTACACTTTATTACATAAGAAAAGCAGCATTCAGCCATTTCTAATTCAAAAGGTAACACTTCATGATCTACCTTAAATTGCACTTGACATCCAAAGAGAAACGCACAACTGTCTTCTAAAAACATTCTAATTAGCTAAACATGACACCCTTAAGTTGGTTTATCCAAAATACAAACTTTTCAATAAGATTTAAGGCACACAAAGGAAGGATGATCTTGCCTTAGTGAGCTAACCAAATTTTTTCTGGTTACCATGACCTTCAGTATCTCACAACGAGCTGTCTTGGACTGGGAAAGAAAAACAAACTGTCCTGCTCTGTCTCTGGTTTCTCTGAGTCTTGAACAAGCCAGTCTCTAAGCCAAACCAGCTGATGAGTTGAGAAGAAAGCATTCCCTCTGCACCTGCCAAAGAGGCCACTAACAGAAGCTGATTTGAACTACATCAAACTTGGGTTCTGTGTGGTTGAATGGCCTGTTTTTTTAAGGCTTTGACAACAGGAATACTTTGGTTGAACGATACTCGATCTTGTTTGTATCACTGTTTCTGCACACAGAGATTGGGTGGATGAGGTTCCTGACTCAGCAAAAAGCAGAGAAAAACCTGGCAACTTCCTTGGAAGGAGACTGTTTAGCCAGACTGGGACAGCCAGGACACTGCAGTCCCACGAACACACACATTCGCTACCCCCATGCCTGGCACCAGCTGCTGCTCTTGGCTACACTTTTGTTGTTATGGTCACCTGGGCAGTAGCCCAGCAAGAGTAAAGTGTGTTGCTATGCAGGGGAAGGGCACCCGGGAGAAAGCACCAGTGCGGCTCTCAGGCCCTTACTGCCAGTGCTTGGAGCACTAACAGCTACAAAATGCTGCATCTGGCAGGGTGTAGCAGAAAGGGGCACTGGGGTTGGGTCAGGAAGGACGTGGGAATGTGTAAAGGGAGGGCAAAATCCCAGAGAATTCCACCCCAAGACAAGATGGAAAGAGGCACTGGTTTGAAGACTCCAGCATCAGTCAGTTGCTGCTGGGCTGGTCGAATCCCAATGGCTGAACTCAGAGACTATGGAGTAGCAGCTATGCTCTCCAAATAAGAGCAGTATAGGGGAGCCCTTTTTGTATGGAGACCCAGAACATTGCACAGATTTAGGGGGAACCATGGGGCAGGGAGGGAGGACAGGAGGGGTGCTAGCGCCTGAGAACTTGATGCCGATGTACCGGAGTTTCACTGACTGGAGTCCTCTTGTTTTTCCGTTTCTTCTTTTTCTTCCGTGCCTTGTTATTTGAGTTGGGCTAGAAGAGAAGCAGAACAGGTGACATGTCAGTGAGCGCACAGCAATACAGTCCTGGGGGGATGCTGCAAGGGAGATGGCATCACTAAAGAAGAGACCAACTGTCACGGACTCAGTCCAGGAGAAAGCCATTCTGCTTGGTGTCCAACACGTGACAACAGTGTAATGGGAAGACTGTGACCAGGGCACAGCAAAGCAACTCTATCATACCCAAACCAAAGGGGTTAAGATGAACCTCAGATACTCTTATATCAGTGCCTGGGGCAGATTATCTAGCACAAGAGATTCTGGGGATTCTCTCTCGAGCCACAGAGATGGCTGCTTCCATTATTCTCTCCTATGTGTTGAGCAATGCCCCCCACCAAAAAATCACCCGTCACCACAGACACGCAGCACCCAGAAAGCACCTCATGCTCATTCTCCACAGACAACTACAGCAGATGGTGCTACCCAGCCTTGTCCCACAGGCAGGCTGGTGCACTGCTATCTATGCCACCTCCTCCACACAAGGTTAACGGCATACTGCCAGGAGCCCCGGGGGGGTCCACACAGATATTACCACCAAAGCACATGCTCCAGAACCAGGTCTCCAAGAGGAGAGCCTGAAATCCAGAATGCAACCACGTATCTCAGTGCCGTGCACAGAAGGGCTTCTGTCCTCTGCCATCACCTACGGCCAAGCTGCAGGAGGGGCATTTACAAGAAAAGAAAGCTCCCAGGTCACTATTGCCAGGGAACATCCATGCACTTCTCCACGTATTTATCTCCACAGCAAATGCTTTGGTGCATTTTATCAAGCTAAAGTCAGCCCCTGTGAGCAGCCCAAGAGCTACATAGTTAAGGCCTACCACAAAGGGAAATCATTTCTATTTCCAGACACCTGGGCTTCCTGGCTTTCGGCTGTTTTGCATGAACTCGACAGAGGGCTGGCAACAGCAGCACAGGCTGCTTCTGCTACTTCTGGGAACTTCTCCCTTCTGCTTTAAGCTGCATGGCAACATCACCAGGCATCCCACTGACCTCCCCACACCCCAGCCCCGGTCTAGTCCGAGAGCACACCCCATCAAGCTGAACTCCGTAGCAGCTTGGGGACGTGAGCAGACAGAAATCAGACTCTTCCTTTCCTCTGTTGGCTACGGCAGGGTGAGGACAAGTGTGCATGACAGCTCCGCAGGCAGGGAGGCAGCATGAATAAATAAAAAGGCGGCGTACGCCCGGTGGAAGGGGGGTGAAATCTCCAAAGAGCAGTATACCTCCTCTGCTCGGGCCTGTAGGCGAGCTGTTAGGAAGGCCAAGGTGGACATGGAGCTCGGACTGGCGTCCAAGATTAAGGATAACAAAAAGTCCTTTTTCAGATATATTGGGAGGATGAAGAAGGTGCCGGGTAATGTGGGACCCCTGCAGGATACGCTGGGCAATCTGGTGGTTGCGTCAGAGGAGAAAGCGGACCTCTTTAACCAATTCTTCACCTCCGTTTTCTTGTGCAGGGACCGGGACTTCCCTGCTGTGATAGAAGCCGGACTCGAGGGGATCGCCTTCAGACCTCAGGTTGGGGAGGACCGGGTTAGAGAGC